ATTTTGCGGTCGCAATGCACGTGCTGCTGTTGAAGAATACCAAAGGCGTTTTCCCGATCGAAGGATTCCATCTCGAAGTGTATTTACGCGAATTCACCAGACATTGCGTGATACTGGTTCTCTTCCGAGTGTTTCTGTGCACTGTGAAAGGGAGGATGTACGAATGATAGACACATGAGAGAACATTCTTGAGATGGTTCAGAGAAGTCCGCGTCTGTCCACTCGTAGAAAGGCCTCTCACATCGGCATATCACGTATGCTGGTGTGGCGAACTTTACATAATGAAGAGTTATCCTTACCATGATCAAAGGGTACAACATCTGGAACCAGGCGACCATGCACAGCGTATGGATTTGTGCCACTGGATAAAAAGCTCATCCCGAACTGTTAAGCATCATTTTATTCAGTGATGAGGCGTCTTTTACCCTGGACGGTGTAAATAATTTACGAAATGTGCATGCGTGGTCCCATAATAATCCACATGAGATAATGGAAATGAAATTCCAAAAGAGATTTTCCGTGAATGTACGTTTAATACCGTTATGTGGTCGGCTTATAGTGCAGTCAGCCACGTTATGTGAGCGCTTGCCAGTCGTGTCATGTATAGTGCTTGGAAACCCTAAGGACAATTATGACATGGCGAGCGAGTATTTTGTACTTCAATTTTATGGTTTCACGTCACTCACAAGTTAGTTTGATGTTACGTACATTATTAACATTACAGAATCCACATATTCCTGCCAGTTTTAATATGTATTTTGTAATCAACAAGTGTGTAACACCGGTCAAAGTTTGACACTTCTCTGGCCATTATCTCCGTAACTGTTCAACTTTGGACATAGGTGTTTTGGGTTATATCGGCATACTTTAACATAAGGAACACCCTCCCGAAGTTTGGTCCATTCCTCCTGGGACACCCTGTATATTGTGTGCTTCATGACTCAGTTTGTATATAAGAAACAGAAAATAGTCTGAATTCCTGCTTCGTTTAAGTAGCACACTGTACAAACAAGTCATCTGAATGTGTGGGGCACAATGAAGATGCTTTTATAATTTACTGCAGTTTTAAGATGCCGTTTTATCCTCTATATCAGTATATAGAGTTATTTATGTAATTCACTAGCAGTTCACATGACTTAAAAAGAATGTACTTAATAGAGTAATTTGTAATGTGTAAGAAATTATGGGACAACAGAACTGTTTAAATGCAGCAATCCATGCCAGCTGTGAGGGTTGTATTCCCCAGAGCACCACGATTAACATAATCGAGGCTTTATGGGAAGGGCAGTGATGGTTATTGTTAACATTCATCTGAATGAAAGTTTCCCCTTTTTGACCAAACATGGAAATATTCAATAACATTAGACATTATACCACAATAAGATGGTTATCTGGAACCTAGAGACTTGGTTTTTGATGCCATTACAGCCTTACCTCCAAGCAGATGTGGTTCTCTTGGCGCAGGAGCCACCTATTGTTTCCGTATGCACACAGATGAATGAGCCTGTAAAGCTTGCAGTTGTACCACAGAGTGCACATTTTTGATACATATGCCTCACACCTTGGAAGTTTATGATGGAGTGTATATATACTTCATAAAGTTAAATGGTTTTTATTTCAATTACTGTTATTAGTATACTCAACATTATTTATGTTATTACCGTGGCCGCCTTATGTCTGCAGTGACACAGGGCTCGCGCCTATCACATAAGTTTGTTTTCACTTCGCTGTCATTGCTGGTTGCAGAAAGTTAAAAACTGAATTTGAAGTTGTCTGTAATGACACACCCTTCTTTTTTATTTATGTATCCTACATTTAAAGATTCATTAAATTACATTCACTGGCTCTCAGGTTGAGTCATGTGGATGGGCCATTGGATAGGCAGACATACAAATGAACATGTCACTCACTATATGTATTTTTTTCTAACACATGTAAAGAGGGCACAGAGACCATGGTAAGTTAGGGATTGCTGTATGATGCCAGAATGAGGGTTCAGTGCTGACAAGCACTGCCATTTGTATGCTACACCTGCTCACTCATGTTTGGATTCTGTCACTGAATATATGACTTCTGGTACCGCAATATTAAAATAAAATTTAGTGTTTCAGGTATATTTCATTTCTGTCTAGATTTTCTTACTTTGTTATAAGTTTTCAAGAAGTATTTCTTTGACATTTATGTTTAAACATATCAGACATTGCTTATGATATCAGTAATTCACTGTATAGCTGAAAATTGGGAATTGAAACTTATGCTGGGACTGTGACCGACTGATTTCACATGTAAACTAATGGATTGTGTCTAGTGATTTGTGAGCACAGTGTCAGTTGTTCTTGTTAGTATTGTAGCAGCCACCTTGCATTGAAGGACACTTGGACTACAGTATCACAGGAAGGCATGTTGTAATCTTATAATAAAAGGTTGCCAGTTTTCAGGGTGTATGTATGTATGTATGTAGTCTTGAGATTGTGTTAGCAGAGGCAGTCATACCAAAATGTCTCCTGTGCACGAGGTCAGAGCAATCTGAAAGTTGCCAGAGGATGTATTATTACTGTTTCACTGGTGATAAACATAAAAAAGGTCTCTCCGCAATGACACAGTGAAAATTATTACTCAGTTTTGTAAAAGGGCTTTCATGCCAGATGGATATTTTTAATCAGTAGCATATTCATTTCTGAACAAAAGTTGGATAGTCTCTGAAAATATGAACTTTTTCTGGTTTTAACATTCCCATATGATGAAGAAATGGCTATTCATACGTAAAACCAGTGCTTTTTTTTTTTAAGTCATATGCATACTGGCAAACAATGGTGTCTATAGCAGCAGACTCACCAAAAGGAGCATATCTGTCAGCGCATTGCAGATGAAACTGGTACTGGCAAACATGTTTTTAGAAAAGAGTGCTGCATGTAAGTATTTAATGACTTGTCATAAAACAATAACACTGTAAAATAACGGTAACCTTACTTTCATAGTCACAGATCAATGTACGGGGCATGGCTGTTTGTAACATAGGCCACTAGGAATGTCTGTTCTGATATTTGCACCTTGAAAGAAGCACTGTCATTGGAAAAGAAGAATCGTTTTCTGGCATTAATATATGAGATGGTGTGGCTGTCCTTGTATGTTATTGCAAGTGGTTTGTGTTTAAATGCAGACTGGATTGAATCCAGAAATTTGCTTTAACAGGTGGTTTGAAGTTTCCTTGTGCACTCCAAGATACTTCTGTAATACAGATTCATTTAAATCATGATTTGTAATTCAGATCCCAGGTATTTACTGTCATTTTTCATTGTGAAATTGTCCAACAATTAAAGGTGTATGAATGTACAAATAAATTAATGTAAGTGACAAGCTTTTACATATATATTTTTTGTGTGCTCTTTGCACAAAATGCATAAGACAAATGGCAATCTGGCTATCTGTGAATTTAATCTCTGAAGCTGCTGAATCGATGTAATGAAATGTTATATTGGGAGTCCACACTGAACGTTGAAACACCACAGTCTCCTGCAATATACTTCCATGTTACCTGGTAGAAATCTGTCAGAATTGTTGAGAAACATGTCACTTCCAACTTTTGGTTTGATGCATAAACAAACTGAGTAATGGATAATAAGCGGTTACCTTGCTTTTTGCTGGTTTCCTGCTTGGCTTACTCTTTGACCCCGAAAGTGGAAACATTAAATTTCTGCAAAATGTCGGTTGGCTTTACCAAGCTGTACTGTGTTATAACACAGAAGATCATCCTCTTCAAAGTCATCAGTGAGAACCTCCAATTCTACACAGAAAGTTACCAAAGACATTTTATTTGTGAGATTAGAAGTTTTAGGAGTGACAGGAGTGCTGGGATCTTTAACTGTGTAGTCTGGAAGATGTTTGGCGTGCTTATATGAGACCATGTGGAATAACATTTCAGAAGATAATACACTTAAAATTTAATTTTGGTTCTTCTTTGTCTGATAGAACCACATCTTCATATGTAGCTAAAAATCAGCTGTATCAAGGTCCTAAAAATTGCCTACTCATGTGGAAGAAAACAACACATGGAGTAATAATGTAAATGCCATTGGAAGATGTACAAATTTTTGGTGTATTCATAGTGAAAAGTTGAAAAAACTTGCCTCTTAGCTTCTTCATGTCTGTCTGTTCATATGTAGCAACTGAAGAACTGCTGAAAGGATTTGCATGAAATGTATGTTTTACTGAAATTTCATTGATATAATTTTTGTCAAAATTTGATGATGATAATGGATGCTCTCCAGCATGACCTACCTGCATTTCCATGTGCATCTTGGGAGTAACCAGCTTGCAGCACTCTGAATATTTATTTGGGTGAAAAATGCTTTGAACAAAAGTTGTAAAGAAAAACAGAACATATTTTGTGTTGAAGTCTTGTAGTTTCTGAGGTAAATAAAAGGAAGCAAACACCGTCCCATGTTATTGACATAGTGAATATTTGACAAAGGAGAAGATAAAGCAATTGCAGACTGTGCGGCATGAAGTCTATAGTATGATTAGTTTTGCAATATGTATTGTTTCTTAAATAATCAAGTGTCAGGTATTCAGAATAATAAAGATGCTTGGTGGAGCATACATTTTCATTCTTGTTTTCATCTTGTTTATCTCAGTCGTGTTTGGGATCTGAAGTAGAGAAAAAAGCATTTTCAAGAATTACAGATTTATTGTGTGAGGTTTTTAGCACACAGTGTTTGCTTTAAGAATTGGCCATAATAAATAATCAGAAGTTTGAACTGCCATCTGTTTTCTCTAAAATCTCCTAGTGCAGTATTCAGTAGATTTCAGACACTGAATATGTGAAATTAGTGAAGGTGAAGTACAGATTCACATTTATACATGGTGAGAATGTGGGATTCGTGTGCATTAAAGGTGATCTCATTCCTTCAGCATCCATATTCATGACATCTTGGTAACGGTTGGTTGTGCAAGGGAGACAGGTTAGAAGGTGACTGCTAGTAGCTGAGAATACAAATAATTTTTTCCTGTCATTTGTTAGTAGGTGCTGTGAATCTAGACTGTTTCTTTATAGGAAGTCATCGTATTGTGTACATAACATGGCTTGCATCATTCATGGCAGTCTTCCCATTATGCTTCAACAAATGTTGCATTTCAGCCACCGAAAAATGTTTGTGTCTTGAAAGTTCCTCGCTCTGTGACAGTCCAAACCTTAGCATACACTGCTGGAAATATACATAATATTATGGGGCACATTGTGAAAGCTTCTGGACTTCAAACTAGTTGAACAATGTTATCTTCATGTAACTTTGCTGCTGTTGCTCATGTTCTTTTAAGAGACAAACTAACCATACTGGGAAATCCAGTGCTTTCAAGGGAAATTAAGAGAAGGTGTTTATTTAAAATCTATTAGTGTATCTTCTATAGGCATTTCATTGTGAATCAATGTATATCTGCATATTTTCTATCAGCAAGCAACTTATCATTAGCTTTGGCAACTCTTGATGTTTACACATTATCTTTTAAGTGAACACTGTTTATCAAAACTTAAAAAGTAGACATTGTTTTATATAATAATCTATTTTCATGCCTAATTTTCAGCATGGTCAGTGCAGATATCTAGGCATGGAGATTTGTGGTACAATGCTTAAAATCATCTTGTCATGTCTGACAACATTTTTGTTACTTAATGTTTAAAATAGGTTGTACTGCATTGAAAGGGCTTGATTTAGAAACATTCATACATGATTGTAATATTCATGACTGAAATTATGTGTGAAAGTGTATTAGTATCCCAGGATTAGAGTGGCAAGGTACTAGCTTATGTGAAGCGAAGTTTGAAAAATATTTGCAATCCATTCAGTCTGTCTTCTACCTTTACAGTTTACATTTGTATCTGTTTGTGTCTGAATTCTTCATAAATATGATCAGAATGTGCCCCCAACTTACTGGATATCACATTTCCATTTGATTGTATTTGAGTTATCCATTCTTTGGCTATTCGACTTTCAAAATTTCGAGCACTGACAGCACCCTTCACACCATACTTTTTGGCAGCATTTCAGGTTTTCCTGTTTTTTATTGTTCTTTATCTCTTGATTTTGCTTGGAAAGAAAAGGCAGCTGTCTCATCAATTTACAGCCTTTGACCTGGCACAAAAATTCAAGCATTCAGAGAACATTTAACACAGGTATGGTTATCATTGGTATACTGAAGAAACAGAACAAATTGGAAACAGAGGTTTACTGAATAAGTTGTGCCCACAGTTACATTGTTCAAAAGATAAATAAAATTGTAAACTGAGTTTTATTATCTCTCTGAACCCTGAAATTTGTCTAATTAAAAATTTAGTTCCTTTACACATGGGTATATAATAGTTTCTCATGTCACACACACAAATGTAAATTGACTTTTTAATGCTGTTTAAAATTGTATTTACATTGTAATATTAAATATATAAATAGACAGACTGCTCATTCTGATGAAACATGAGTTCATATAATTACACATTTTATAACATGACTGAAATCATTGCCATTGCTAGTTTTTAAGGCCAATACAAACCAGACAGGACATAGCACTTAACTAGAATAAATACATATATAGAATCCTTCACACCGAAATCCTTTATCATAATATTGCGCCAAGGGTTATTTTAAGTGTCCATATCAGTTTCCTTCAGATTGCTGTGAGCCATTAATGTTGCTTGTGTATTTTACAAGTTGTATGCAAAAACTATATACATAACAGAGTTTTTCTGTTGGTATTTCTGGGTTTCTGGATATTGTACCTCATCAAATATGCCAAAGAGAACACAACGCTCAGTGAAACCTTTTAAATGGACATAACTGAGTAGGTCCCTCCACTTTTTCACACAAGGACAAAAGCTGATGCAATGCCCAAAACATTGTGTTCCATTCTGAACACTAGATGATGGACAGAATCAGAAACCCAGTAAGCCTAGGTATAATGTACAATTACCAGAATAGTGATTGAAATAAATGTTCTCAGAAAGTTCTCTCATAAGAGCGTGTCCAAAACATTGTGTTCCATTCTGAACACTAGATGATGGACAGAATCAGAAACTCAGTAAGCCTAGGTATAATGTACAATTACCAGAATAGTGATTAAAATAAATGTTCTCAGAATGTTCTCTCATAAGACCATACTGTTTGGAACACAAAATGCCAATTTTATGGAGTGAGCCAATGTAGCTTCAAAATAATAGTGAAATAGTCATTCTGACCATGAATGAAACAGAGCATTTCCAACAGCATGAGTTTTCTCATACCAGATGTAAATGTCATACAGCAACGTTTCTCAAACATTCTGTGCTTGGTGCATACAGAAACACTTTTTAAAATGACTGGACACCATGGACAAAAACAGTTCTTAATCACACAATTTTTAATGCTTTTATAATACGAGTGAATGGTGATCATCTTTGTATGTCATATGTACAAGCTGCATGAAATGATGCAAAGCAAAAATGACACCTACAGATAACAGTTTTCAATGAGAATACTGAAAAGTATGGATGAAAACTTATGGTACCCTTGGCAAGGTGCTTTGGGTACATCTGGGGTACCAGTACCACAGTTTGAGAAACATTACCATGCAGTAAATGATTAATATACGAAAAGGCAAGCTGTGTGACTAATTATAAGCAAGTCATCTCCAACATTCATTTACTAAACCTTGTCTAAATATCTTGCTGCCATAATACTTTCAGCTGTTAGCTCTCGTAATTTGAAGTTCATTAATACAAGCTTTATTTCTCAGGGCTTAGCAGAGCAGCCTGTGGATAAGGAGTATACCAAAATTCACAACAGAATTTATTTACATTCCATAGGCCTAAGTCAAGGGTGTGTAACGTGTAATAATACGAATATAGTACATGTTTCCAATAGAAATATAATTCAAAGTTTGAACAGCTATTTACATATTTACAGACATCTCTTTTAATACAGAATTACATAAAAGAACCACTACATTATTGCTTACATGTATTTATAACTGATAATTTTTTATTAAGGTAAATTCTTATACAGAGTGGGAGTGAGGTGGAGGATACTCTTTTAATGCTGGCTTAAACACTTTGTACTGTGATTCAGACATTTCATTGTAGAAGTAAAATTATTGAACAACTTGATTCTAGTGTAGTAAACTTCTTTCTGATATTTACTGAGGTTAGTAATTGACACATAGGTGTCATAGCTATATCTAATATTTAGCTTGTTTGTATCTGAAGTTGTTACAAATTTTTCCATGTCGTCTGCAACAAATAATAATAATGAAAGTAAAATTTTCTAGCTAGCAGATGAATACAAAATTTCTTAAGTAATTCACTTCAGTTGATTCTCTTTTTAACTCCTGACATTGTTATAACAATTTTCTTTTAGATGCCAGACACATTTTTGCTTTTTGTTGAACTTCAGAAAATACTCTGTGTGATGTGATGGATATTTTTATGATTGATGTGACTGTACTCATAGCAAAGGGTGGCGAACTTAATTTAGGCATAATACATTGAATATTGTCCCCCCTCCCCCAATTTAAGATACTGCTAATTTGAAAGCCAAGGAATTGAGATGCTTCCACTTAAACTGTTCTATTATCATACCATATATTTAGATGAGTATGTTTTATTGTTAGTATCTGATTTAAGGCTCCCCCCCCCCCAAATTTGTGTTCAAGCTAGCAAAGACGTCATTCATGCAATTCTGAAAGTAATAAATTTCTGGATGTGAAATAGTAATACTTGTGCTACTATCCTTGTTACAGAAGCCATTCAATGTACATGGTGCCTGAGTGCAGAGGTCTGCCTCTTATGTATATATATCCTTGTTGTCAATACTGTGACTGAACCCAGAGAGACTTAGTACCAGGATTTTTTTTCAGCTGGTATATACCAGCATGCATAGCACAAAACAATTCATGTGAAATTCATATGAACCAGCAAATGTGTCAGAAGCTGGTGCAGTGTTTAAGTCTTGTGGCTAAAAACAAATTGTGAGAGCACCAGCAAACATGTTTAATAAAAAAAGTGATGCTTATCACCATTTGGAGCTTCAGGCTAGAATCAGCACTGTATTAAGATAACTGTGAACAACAAAAAAGAAATACAAATGAGAAATACTACTGGTTGTGTACACCTCAGCATGTAAATAAGAATGAAAGGCTGAGTGCTGCAATATTTGTGATATATGTTTAGTGTATCCTTTCTTCATATTCATGCCAGATGTTGTTATTCACTTGAATGATAGATATATTGAAGGTTGGCATTTGTGTGAACATGAATGAGATTATTTTAAAGTAGCCAAAACAGTGACGGTCATTTAAAATTGTGATCCAAGGCATTTGCCTTAAAATATTTTGAACTGTGAAGTCATTTGAAGATACAAATACTATTAATGTATTTTGATGTATTTCTGTTTAAATTGGTTGTGCTTTTGTTTGATGCTTATGTTACAGGTATTTTCCAGTACCACTCCAATATATATATATATATTTCTGACTCTTCATGTTGGCTGCATAGCGGTGATCTTTGTAGAACTCAGTGAAGCAAGTGTGGCAAATATTATTGTCTGCTGTGGTATTGTTTTGATATCTTCACCTGCATACTTGCATAATGGATACTTAGAATACTGCAATCTGTATATAACACTACTAATGATGATAATATTATAATAGCTACAGAGATCTCAAAACTTTCAACAGTTGAATAAACTACTGTCCTAATGAAAAATTTATGTGTAACTTCAATTCTGCAGGAACCTGTTAAATGTAAGAATTATGGCAACTTTTGCTCTACCTTTAAATACCAAGAAAAATTTACCATTTTTTTGACATGTCTAATGGTAAAAGTATACCTTCTCTGGAGTGTAAGATATATTCCTTTTGATTTCGAACAAACCCATAGCAAACCATTTAGATAACAGCAACATAAATTATGGTAATATGTCATGAAACATGAACAGCAAACGAAAGATTTTGTCACTGTCATTTAACATTGGTCCATGATACGTATGTAATGGCCATCTTGTAGTGCACTCAATTTCATATGTCGCTTCTTACTACATGTTTCGGCAACATAGTGCCATCTTCAGGTTCGTTATTGATGCTAAGCTATTACATTGTTTGCCATCGTGTGTCTTTCATAAAATTATTTAAAAAGTACATTATTCGTCAACTGTAATAAAATTTGTATACTCTAAAACTTGTTAAGATTATTCATCTATATGTCTAAATTCAAACTTGCGTATAGTATGGTTCGTCCACTATGGGAGTCGTTTCTGTGTGTACCTGCAATTTGAAAATGGTACTTATTATTATTTCTTTCGACTTCTATCTGTTATGTGTTGTGTTATAATGTTTAGTACTTAGATGAATAATCTTAACAAGTTTTAGTATATACAAATTCTATTATAGTTGATGAATAATGTACTTTTTAAATAATTTTATGAAAGACACAAGATGGCAAACAATGTAATAGCTTAGCATAAATAATGAACTTGAAGATGGCACTATGTTGCTGAAACATGTAGTAAGAAGCGACATATGAAATTGAGTGCACTACAAGGTGGCCATTACATATGTATCATGGATGAAAATCAGTGCAACAGGATGCTAAAATACAACATTATTTAACATTGGCCTGATAATTTTCCATTTCTACATATAGTAAAACAATAAGATCAGCAACAGTTCATAAGTGCAGCTTCATTCAATGTTCATCCTCGGTACTATAATTGTGGTTCGGCTTTTGTGTTCCATATATCAGAATTCCATACTGGACCAGTTCTTGCCCCTTCTTTCGTAACAGTGCAGAGTAAAAAACAGTTGTCCCAAAATGTGAGTGAATATACTGGTTCAAATAAATAAGTGGGGACTTTCCATTTCCCATATGGTGTCACAAAAATGAGCTAGTGTGTGAGTCATGAAACTTTGATCCACTTACATTGCCATAATCACATTATATTCTCTATAATGTATAAGAAATTCTGGGAAGCATGGACCATGTAGAAAACCAAAAAAGTTTGGGAGAGGCTACACAGACACAGATGGACAGATGGCAAGGTGATCTCATAAGCCTCCTTTTATTTCATCAAAATAAGTAAAACAGGCTAAAAACATACATTGTGCAGGTATTCATATATTTGTGCCTGTGTGTGTATGATACAAGTTGTAGAGCTTGGTATTTTCCATGTCAATTTATGGATTTTAGGAGGCTGCAGTATGAGAGTCCCAGTACTGTGGCATGTAGGTACCAACATTCTGGTGAAACCTGCTGGTTCCAGCATGAAAGTGGATTGTAACATTGGTGCCAGAAGGAGGTGGGTGAGTACAAGCCAGGCAACCCCCCCCCCCNATGTGCAAAACCATGCTTCAGTCAATCAACTGCAAAAGATAAAATCAGTTTGGGTTATTGCAAGTTTTGAGTGAGGGCAAACATTACACTTTTCTGTGCCATGAGCACTAGTGGACTTTTGTACTGCCAATGCTCATTTTTCCCCATCTGTTAATGGCACCATCATTCAGTCATGGAGGTCCCCTTGGAAGTATTTATATATCCTCAAAATTAGGTTGGATGAATGAAGATTTGATCATCATCTGACTCAATCATTTCATCTCAAATTTTCAGCCTTCTATTCAGAACACCACACTTCTAATCGTGAACAACCACCCAAACCATATGTCCCTCTCGAGTCATAACTTCTGCAGGGATACTGATATCCCTGTGGTTTCTATCCCATCACACACATGTACTACAAAATGAAATCATCATATGTTTCCTTCTTTGGGCTTGTTTTATCGTACATTCCTTGTTTTGAAAAAAAAATAAAATGAGACTTATGAAATCACCTTACTGTCTGACTCTCTGTGTCTGTCCATCTACCTGTATATCCCTACTTCAATTTTTGTTAAGAGGCTTATGAAATCACCTTTCTGTCTGTGCCCCCCTTAATTCTTTCATCTTATATGCCACCCACATCGTATCAAGGAGGCTTATGGGCTTACCTTTCTGTGTGTCTGTTTCTCTCCCCCTTCCTAATTTTTTCTTTTTCTCTGTGGTCTATGTCATGTCAAAAGTAAGTAGACAATTAGTTCTTCCCACAACTTTTATATTTTACGCACTGTATGTGGATGATGTATTTAAACACTAGGCTTAAAATATCAATGTAATGCGGGAAACTTCCTTATGGCAGTGTATTCTACATGCACCGACAGACAGCTACGAACATTGCATAGTGGGGAGTGGTGGCAAGTATTTCTTCCAACAGGTGGAATGGTTATTGTCAGACATAGCGATGATAATGTCTTGTATTGGCTTTGTGTCGGAAAATATGTGATACGCATTTTGTAAATACTCGTACAGTATTCTTCTAAAGTGTTCGTGTAAGCTCATGTATTTATTGTGTGGAATATTTGAAAAGTGTCTTTAGGTGGGCGTCATAGCACCCTGTTTCTAAAAAGCGTTTCCCGCAAATTTTGAATTTATTTTCTTGGTTCATATAATATGAATATGTCCGGGCCCCATGTATATACCCATCAGTAATCAGTACAAGCTCTGCTTCTATTACGAACTGAAAAGTAACATTGGGAATGACAACTCCGGAATAGCAGAGCAGCACTTTCTGGTTGCATGGTTTCTTATGCATCTAAATGTTCAGCATGTCTCCGCTTGGAGCGACAGCTCTCGAGTCTTTTATAAGTCTTTACGTTTCGTGGTGCCACCTAACATTCTTTGCAGTACCATTTAGAGTAGGTAAATGACAATCTAAACTGAGGCGCTTATATTGTTTCGAAAGAATTTAGTCTGGATCAGACTCCTTCGTCTCATTAGAAATTCTTTCCCAAGCCAAATCAATTTTGTTCTGCCTAGCATAGACTGGGTGGCATTTGT